AAACTAATCTATCGAATAAAAAATCCTTTTTTTATAATCAAATAATTAAATAGAATAAATCGAATTAATTTAAATAAATCAAAACAAATATATTATCTTATTTAATATCTAAACTTCGATAATTATATTTGAAATAAAATAAATATTTATTTATCGATATATCAATATTTAGAAATAAAATATATTCAGAGATAATTCATTTCAATCACTATCTTTATATAATACTAAACATAATATATATATTAATTAAATAAATAACTCAATTCTACAATTATTGACAAATTATCAATCAATTTAATTGAAAGAATAATCATTAAATATTCTTTTTAACTAATGAACAAATAAAATAATGATCATCATTAATAAAGAATAATGAAATAAATTAATTTTCATTGAATTATTTATTTCCGATATATAAACTTATTCGTTTTAATATATTAAATCTAAATAATATTTAAATAAAAAAAAAAAAAAATTGATTTGATTTTATAAAAGTAAAAATAATTATTAAATAAAAGTCTATATAATAAATAAATAAAAATATTTAGTCTGAATCTTTAATACCATCATTTAAATTGAATTTAATGCAACATGAAAGAACGAAAGATAAGTATGTTTAAATAAATATAATTTAAATAAAATAAAATAATTTATTTGTTAAGACGATTTCTGGATGGTTATCAATATGCAATAGATTTAAATAATGCATTACATTGTGTTCTTCGATCACGTGCTGTATATATTAATAAATGATTTATTTATAAAAAAAATCTAATCAATTATATTTAGAGAGTTGCTGATCGAACATTTCAATATTATCAATCTCATAATCAACTTGGTAGATTATTTAGTCATTGGAGTACAAATGAAGATAAACTTGGAGATTCATTACAACGAGCTGGACATTTTATTGATAGGTTAGTTTCGTTTTGCTTTTTTTTTTATTTCAATTTATATATAAATAGTTATTCGGGACAAATCGAAGAATATTTACATGAAGAAGATGCTTTAATGGATTTTTTAAAACATCAAGCATCTTATTGTGATGTTATTAAGTATATTTATTTCATATTGTATTTCAATTTTCTTTTTCATTTATCTTTGTTTATTTTTAAACAAAAACAAAAATCGAATCTTAAAGATCAATTGTTGAAAAACATGAAGAATTATCTGAAGATAATAATAGACAAGAAACAAAACTTGGAGTAAAACGAACTCATAGAGATGATTATGTATGATTAAATATAATAAATTGATAAATAAAAAAAAATTTGAATTTTTCTAGGCTAATCATAAAATAAATTTTTCTGTTAATTCATTTAAATCAAAATTATTTGGTGAAAATGAAGAAAGACGTTATGCTAAAATTGAATCAATGGATTCGGATATAAATGATGCTGTTTTACATTGTCAAAATGCTGATATTCGTCTTAAGTTTGTTTTATTATTTATTTAATTAATATAATTAATGTTTTCTTTTTTTGTTAATAAAGAGAATTCAATAAAAATGCCTTAATTGAAATTGATTTTTATAAAACAATGAAACAAGAACAAATACGTGAAATTCTTCGTTCATATTGTCTTCTTCAAGTTCGAATAGCTAAATCGGTTTGTTTAGAATGAATTTTTTTTTTAAATTTATTTTTCAATATAAAATAGGCATTAAAAAGTTGGACAAATATTCGAGATTGTTTTTCATCGGAACAAACTCCATTATAAATAATAAAGAATAACTTTTTATTATATAATTAGACATTCCATTTATTATATTCCATAATCATTTTACCGTTTTTTTCTTTCTTTTTATTCAAAATAAATCTTTTCAAATTCATTTTGGTAAACAAATCAAATATTCAATCTTTTATTTTAGATCGATTTTTATTATTATTTATATCATATTCAATTCTTTTATTAATCAAATTCATCATATTTTTTTTTTGTAAGTTAAGATTTTGCTTTTAAATTTTATTTAAAATAAATTCTCAAAAAAATAAATAAATTATATAAAATAAATGAAGATTAATATCATTCGAAGAAATTATCTGATTTAGTGGATAATTTATCTCGTTAAATATTACAATTCTAATATTTATTTTCTATTCTTAAACTTTTTCATCTCTAATGATTAGCTAGATCACATTGAAATAGTCATTTTTATAGCTCGTCAAATTCTCTATTGAATAGAATATATGACAAATTTTCAAAAACAAACTTTATCAACAGAGTTTTACAGAAAACTGTCACAGGAGGATTTTAAGTTCTAGAGAATTTTTACAGAAAGATTTTTCAATATAAGAATCTCAAAGAATAGAATATTCTCAAGAAAATTAAAGGTCGCTCAGTTCTCTACGATATTCCCTCTCAAAGTTATAACTATTAGAAAAAACGAAAAAATCTGCTTCTAATAGAATTTTCGAACTTTTTTTCATAAAAATCGACGAAAAACGCGTTTTTTTCGTTTTTCCTAATGATTAGAAGTTTGTGGCGGAATATCATAGAGAGTTGGTCGACCCTTGATTTTCTTCAGATTTTTTACTCTTTGAGATTCTTATGTTGAAAAATGTTTCTGTCAAAATTCTCTAGAAGTTGAAATTCCTCTGGTATGGTTTTCTATAAAACTCTCTTGATAAAGTTTGTTTTTAAAATTTGATATATATTCAATTCGATAGAAAATTTGAAGAGCTATAAAAATGACTATTTCGATTTGACCTAGCTAATCATCAGAGATGATAAACTTCAAAAATAAAAGTATCTTTAACTTTTTCGATCCAGTTTACATATGAAACGTTTGAAATTCACTATAAATTTTATTTGATTTGAAAATAGCAAAAAAGTTCACTTTAGAGATCTCCATGCTGGCAGCAGCTTTTTTAGGAAGAAATTTCAAAAAATTGATCAATTTACAGAGAATCTCGACGTTGATGTATCCTAAACTCTAGGACTTAACAGATCTTATCAATTACCAGTAGCAGTTATAATTAAGATCAATCACACCCTTGAAAATTGAAACATTTTTAAAAATACCATCGCGGCACCGGCAGATTCTCAGACGCGATCTATATCTCTGGTTCACTTTTATCAAGATATTATTTTGTTGAATAACATACGTTTTTATTTTATTGGAAATTCGAATTAAAACAAAAAATTTTAAATTCACCAGTTTTTTCTCCTACGGTTGTTTGAATGCATTCATCAATTTATTAAAATCATCCTTAATTTCTAGATTCTTACACCTTTTTAAATAATAGACAATCAATTATAAGTTATACTCTTCAATATATTTGTTGACGCTTTTCTAAAAAAAAAAAAAAATACTTTTTAGTAAAAGCTGAAAGTTGAGTTAGTGATCGATTGGATGAATAATCTAATAGGGATAGATTAATAGTCGATTTTCGGTTACCTCACTTCACTCTATTCAACTTCATAAAATCTATTCGAGATTCTGATAACAAGAAAACAAGTGAAGTACACTTTTTTTAAATTATTTTTATAAAATTTCTATTCATCTAACATAGAGACGTGAAGCTCATCGATAGGAGTTATCTGAAATTTTCGAATGATAGACTATTTTATAAATGAAATGGATACCAATATCAAATCTATGCATCAGTGAATGTGCGAATGTGACTATTTATCTTCCTCTAGTTATCCTATTCACTAATTCAACCAATTCCGCACATATTAATTGACACACATAACAACTACAGACATCATTCACATTGACACGCATCTACAAACGTCCACACAACTCACATGTCACATCCGTACACAACATTCATATGATACGTCGACGGTCAAAATCATAGCGATGAAACGAGCAGCTATACCTCAAACATAGCTATAAAAATACCCAGAGATACATCCAACTTCCACCTCACTCACATCCACATAACGGCAACCGTCCGAACAGATCTGACACACTACATATCATTGGACGAAGTTCCAGATTAAAAAGAATTTGATTGAATAAGAGCAAGAAAATTAAAAGATTTTATTGGCTAAAGCCTCAGTCTGAAATAATAGGAGATAGGAGACTTTTTCCTGAATAAACTCTATCTCAACTCTGATTGGCTGTGACAGACAAATAAACATACAAACATTTTGTCACGTAATGGAACCTTTCTTTCAGAAAAGGTAATGACAAACGTTTCATTAAAACGGCAACAACCCGAAAAATAGAAAAGTTCCTATTTGGTTAGTCGAGTTTTTAGTCAGTGGAAGGTTAAATGAAATGTCTAATCTCAATTTAGAATTTCTGCTCGTCAATCATCTATAACGAAGTTTCGTTAAAACGGGTAGAAGGCAAAAAATAAAAAAGATCCTTTTTTTATTGGCTGGAATAGACAAATAAACATAGAAACATTCTCAGCTAACATTATTTATTCGATAAAAGAAAACATAATGGCACATTAGAGTTTTATCTTTTATTATAACAACTAACCTTATCATTTTCTAAACGATAAATCTTTTTTTTTTTGTTTAATTTTATAATCATCTAGGATTTGTTTTGATTAATATATAAAATCGATAATAAATAAATAATAATCTTTCGAAATAATTCAAATAAATTATTTTATTTATTTCTATTCTCTAAAACTATTTTCATTCTAATTAGATAATTTATCAATTATATTTAATTGAACATATTCATTTATATTATATTTTTACGTAACAATTCAACATCGAACAAAAATTATTGAAATTTTTTATTTATTTCAATAAGAAAATATTTATTTATTTCAATAAGATAATATTTATTTATTTCAATAAGATAATATTGATTTAATTATTATTTAAATAAAAAGGTAATTATATTTAATATAGAAAATAATATTATAGAAATTGTTTTTAAAAATAAAATCTATGTTAAACTTTTCTATGATTGAAAGATAATCGTTTATATTAATATTAATTATTAATAAATTGAATTAACTATTATACTAATTTTATTATTTAAATAAATTAAAATAAATATTCGAATTTATTTTATTTTAGTTTTAATGTCGAAAAAAGATTCTCGAACATATTTATCAGATAATAATCGAAATGGAAAGTTAAAAGATTTATCAAATAGATTATCAAAAATTGAAATAACTAGTAAAAGGTAAATATAATATCTGATTTAATAAAAATAATTAATTAATATATATCTATTAGTATTCGAGAAAATTCAAATAAAAAAAATTCTCTTGATAAATTAATTGAATCAATTAAAAATGGTCAATATAATAAAATTGTTGTTATTGTTGGAGCAGGTATATCAACAGCAAGTGGTATACCTGATTTTAGGTATCAAACATTTTTTTAATTTAATTTAATTTAATTTAATTTAATTTATTGTTTTATATAAGAACACCAGGTACAGGTTTATATGATAATTTACAACGTTATAATATTCCATATCCTGAAGCTATATTTGAATTAAATTATTTTAATAAAAATTCTAACCCATTTTTTCATTTAGCAAAAGAACTTTATCCAGGAAAATATTTTCCAAATATAAATCATTATTTTATTCGTTATTTATATGAGAATAATATTCTTCATCGTGTTTATACACAAAATATAGATGGACTTGAAAGAAGTAATTTTAAATAAATTTATTTATTTATTTATCTATCTCAATGATTATTTATAGTGGCTGGAATTCCACCTGATAAAATAGTTGAAGCTCATGGAACATTTATGAGTGGAACTTGTCAAAAATGTCATAAAAAATATTCATGTGAAGATATTCGTCAAGATATATTTAATGATAAAATTCCAATATGTTCAAAAATGTCACGATGTAATGGTATAATTAAACCAGATATTGTTTTTTTTGATGAAGATCTTCCACAAAGATTTGAACTTTATAGAAAAGATTTACCGATGTCTGATTGTTGTATTGTTATGGGTACATCATTATCTGTTTATCCATTTGCTGATATTGTTGATTTAACAAAACATTCAACAGTTAGACTTTTAATTAATCGACAATTAGTTGGAACTTTTTTAAAACCACGAACAAATGATATAACATTAATTGGAGATTTAGAAACTAATATAAAAGATATTTTAACTAAATTAGATGCTTTTCATTATATTACAGATTTAATGAAAAAGGAAAATGATCAACATGAATATAATAAAAAATCTCGATATAAAAATCATCTTAAAAGTTCAACAACAATATTAAATGATCGATTAAAAGCTGCTCAAACATATTTAAAAGAAAAAGAAAAATTTTCAAGACTAAACTCTAACCGTCAACAAGTACAATTAATAACTAAACCAAATCCTGTTTCATATAATGAATCAACTAAAATTATCATCGAAAAACATAATGATGCTTTATTATTTAATCGAAAACGATCAAAATCAGCTTTACCACATCTTCCATCAAAACAATCATCATCATCATCATCATCATCATCATCATCATCATTAAATAGTTCATTATCTGAATGTGAATTAATGCCATTTTCTTTCAAACGCCCATCAGACAGTAAAACTCAACCTTCAAGACAAATCCAGGCTAGAGCAACAACAAAAGTGAAAATAAATCCATTGTTAAATGCAACATTAAGAACAGTTTTCTAAAGATTATTTATCATTTATAATTATTTATTTTTCATAGACAAAAAAAAACAAACAAAAATCAATAAACGAATGAAAACAATAAAAATTTGAAACAAAAAATCAACTGAGAATTTCTCTTTAGAATTTCATATCTATTTTAAATTGATAAGATATTATCTGTTATATGTATATATATGTCAGCATCCAAACTGAGATTACGTTCCATCTTAGATTGGTCTAGGCGAATATCAGATCCGACATTAGGACGGACGTTTGTTCAGACCATTCTCGGATAAAATATAAAACACACGTCCATTCTAGAATTCGACTAAATCAATGTCAGAGATCGGACTGAGCGGCCTAACAGAAAAGTCTCTTAGCGCCATAGACAGTCGAGCCATTAGTATCCGATAAATTCAAACCTCCCATAAAAAATGAAGGAGAATGATTAAGACTCAATATTTGAGAAACTTTTACGAATCTCATTCTGAGTTTATATTGAATATCCCAAAAATACTATCAATAGAATTTATTTTATACATATCTTTGCATATGCAAATGGTAAAATATTGAATTTTTTAAAAATGTGTTTCGGTGGTGTCTAACAAAGAGATACAAAAAATCTTGTTCATTTGCTCCGGTGAATTTTAGAAAGCTGAAAGGAAAAGTGTATAAAAGGTTTCTACTTCAAATTATATTGGAGTTAACACACATATTTGAAATAAGATCTGTTTTTCATTTATCTTTGCACCGAAAATTGTTAAAAACTTGCATCGCTTTTAAAGGTCCACCATTAAACTCTCGACAATATCCAGAGAAAAATCTTCTCTCGCCATATTCTAATCGATTTAGAGAGAGAAAAAACTAAACATGTACGAGACACTGGAATTTTTCACCATAACAATAGAATAAACACTCCAGAAATGGTTTAATGATTACTGAAGTCAAGCTTTGTCTATAAAAACAAATATTACTGAGTAAAATGATACTACCAAAGTAATTCGTTTCCTGTTCAAAAGTCGTTATTAAAGAATTAAAAGTGAATAATTAGGTACTTCATCGTTAAAGTAGAAGAGCAGAATCGACTCAGAAGAGTGAAAAATTGTAGCATCTTGTAAGTCGTTGATTTAATCCTGCTCAAAATTGATTAAGCTAGTATAGAGAATATTTTGTTTCTTTAACAGCCATTGCACAATAAGCCGCGACCTTTTGCTACAAAGACTGCTCAATCGATTTTCTTAAATTTTGATTTCACTTCCATATTTGAAAAGTGCATCAATTAATCAGTTTTTTTGTCACCAACCGTACCTCGATAGTTCAAACCGTTGCTGAGATATTCAATTTTTAGTGTATGATCATTTTTCTTCAATAGACGACGCTAATGTCACGCGTGTTCACTAATAAGCGTGCCATTTTTCATTGGGATGATATAGAATCATGAAAATTTCAGGATAGATACATATTGAGTTGCGCTACAAAACAAAATGATTTCCAGTTCTCGATGTTGCTCTATAACCGAGCTACAGATGTCGCTATTAGTAAGACTGTATCATTCAATATCTTCTGCGTAACCACCTCTTTAAGGTTGAAACTTTTATAGTAGATACTAGAGCTGTGGGGCTATATAATGATGAAAAAAAAGTCTGGGTAACCAATCATAACTCGAGACATCGAAGTTTTATCAAAATTTACTGCATTTTTAGCTGGTTTTATGGATTTTTCACGAACTTTGTTGAACAAAGAAGGATAAAAATATCATATTCTGAATCAGCATGAAAAACTGAGTCAGATGATATATGTTTTATTTTAAAAAAATTTCCATCAAAAACTCACCTGAGGAGGATCACAGGCAAAAATTTTATAAAAAAGTGCTGAGGGGGAGTAGGGGTCACTTTCGAATGGAATTTTTTTTTAAATAAAACATATATCATCTGACTCAGTTTTTCATGCTGATTCCGAATATGATATTTTTATCCTTCTTTGTTCAACAAAGTTCGTGAAAAATCCGTAAAACCAGCTAAGAATGCAATAAATTTTGGTAAAACTTCGATATCTCGGGTTATGATTGGTTACCCAGACTTTTTTTTCATCATTATATAGCCCCACAGCTCTAGTATCTACTATAAAAGTTGCAACCTCAAAGAGGTGGTTACGCAGAAGATATTGAATGATACAGTAGTTAGTAGGAAAAATAAGTTTATTCTTGAATGAGATTTAACCGATCGTTCAACGTCCTCATATCTCCGTCATCAGAAAAAAAGAAAAATACAATAAAATATACACTCATCATAGACAAAAAGAACTCGCTCATCATTCTTATTTATCTAAACATCAATCAATTATTAAACATCCTAATGTACACATTATTAAGAAAACTTATCGATTTCGACGCATAGATATATGAAAAATGAGGTTCCTTTTGTTTTTATTGTGGTAACTTCTTTTCGTGCAGTCTTATTTGAAATTTTGAGAGCATTATTTTCAGATATGTTTAAATACCTTTTAAAGTATTATTGTCCGATTTACTTATTAAACAAATAACACATTTTAAAGTTTTCTCATATTAGCTTTATTTTGATCAGTCAAAATAATAAAATAAATCATCTAACTATAACCATTGATTTTATCTCAATAAAATTTTTTCTCTTAGAGTAATTGTACTTTTGATCATAAAATGATTTGCGATACAAATGATCACCTTAACAAAATATAATGTAGAAAACAAACAGTATTGACTAGATGTTAAACCTACGGTACAATATCTTTCGAACTTCTTCAGCTTGATGAAGAAGGGTGAGAATCTAGTAGATATTTTCTAAGGCGCTTTCGCATGAACGTTTCCGTGCATAAGTGATATATACAAACATGTATAAATTGGTGTAGACGTAGGTGAAAGAAAGTTGAAGTGTAACCGATGATATAGATAAAGATATGTTGAAATATTAGAATTATTTGAAAACATTTTATGATCAAAAGTGTCTATTCTTGATAATCATTACATCTCTATCGATATAAAACAAAACAAAAAAAAATTTGATTTTTACCGAATTTTAAAAAAATGTCATTTTAATAAATTTTTATCTTTTTCTCTTTACTCCATTCGAAATTCCATAGGCAATTTTCTCTTATCATTCATCACCACCTTGAAAATATTCTTTTCTATATTTCTTCACCTTGCCTCGTTGCTTGTGTTTTCTCGCATTAGTCCTTTTACTGTAAATTAGTCCTAGATTTGGGGAAGGAGCGAAGTACGCTCGCCTCCCTCCCTTTGAACTTGAATTTCTATTTTTTTTATATACTGATTTTCCTTGGAAATTTAGCGTTTTTGCTTTTCCGTGCCGGCTTTTTGTCTATCAATTTGTGACTCTGTACTCTTGTAAATAAATGTTGTTTGCTATTGTCATGTTTAATGTTGTATTTATTAATATGAGAATTAGATCTTATGTTAATTAGAAAAAAAAGGTTAAGCATTCCTATTTTGTTAAAGAAAATTGGAATTGAAAGTAAAGAATGTGATTATAACTTGTTGAATAAAATAAAAATATTTATAATTAAAAAAAAGTTGTCGATTATATAAATGAATAGTATTCTTTTATTTTTAGTTCGACCAGATCTAAGACCAGGATATTTTTTATCCTATTGAAGTTTGACGATAGATAGAATCTTTACCAACATCTCAATCGATTGATATGGAAATAAAAAAGCAATAAACTGAGAAGAAAAGGTAAATTCTTTTTGTTTAGTTGAACATCTACTTATTTTAGAAGAAAATCTTTGACTATTAATTCAACAACTAAAAACATTTTTTTCTTAATATTTGTAGAAAAATTGATTCTGAAAAAGTGAAATCTTATCGTTTTATGGTTGGAAAATGTTTTCCTGATAGTAAGATTGACATTGAAATATCTAGATTTTCGTCTTTGGATATAATTTTCTCTTCAACAATTTATTTTAGTCTTTGTTTGTCTTTTGTTATTAAATATTTATCAAATAAAAAATTCTAATATATTTATTTAATTTTAATTTAATATTTTAAATTAAAATTAGAATTATTTTAGAATTTAATATAATATTTCATTCTTTTAGTTTTATTTTATTTTTATACATCATAGAAAAAAATTCTTCTTTTTAAAAAGTGAAAATATTCTTCTTATAATATTTCTACGTATAGAAAAAATAAGTGATGGATCGAATTCATTGTAAGGTGCATGTGATACTTTTCTCTATTATTTTTCTTTTCTATCGAACTCTATAATTCCAATGTGACTATGTTGGATTTTTTTTTTCTTTCTTCTCTCTATTTAAGCATATTTGTTTAGTTAAGATTGCCCTAACTAAGATATCCATATCATCTTAACATAACCAACCAATTTCGTTCCTTTGTGTTTCTTAGATTGGTTTTTTTTCTAGTTTCAATAAGATCTTCAATTATCGGAATGACAACAACTATAAACCCAAATGTATACATTGAGTTAGCACCATCAACACCTGATAGATTGAATATAGTCGATTTTAATTATCCGTTACGATGTTGTTTCAAAGTATATGGAGTTAACTCAGTTACAAATACACGTTACTTCATATATGATCGAAAAATTAATTTACAACAAGCCAGTATTACAGATGGAATTAATTTACATCTAAATAGTTTACCTCGTCAACAACAACGTTATCGTTTAGAATTAACTGGTGAAGATAATCAACAAATAAAATTTAAAGGCATTACGTCCATTACGCTTAAATATGATGGTAAACTTAACGAAAACAATCCTAAACATTTGAATAGGTTTATTTTAGAAAGTGATGATTAAGATTATCAATATCGTCCACGTGATGGTGTTCATTAAAATAAAATATAAAAAACACTATCTTAATAAAAAACACTTATTTTATTGAAAACTTGATCATCTGTTTTTTTTTTGTATTTTATTAACTTTTGCATGACGATCTCTGATAAAAACTATTTTGATTATGATTTAAGAAAAAAATAAAATTTTAAAAAGATAGTTTATCCATTTTTATTTGAATTATTTTGAATAATAGTTGAAGAATATAATATATAGATATTAAATAAAAGAAACAAAATTCTCTTAACACCTATTGAATAACAATAGACGTCAATCTTTTTCCTTTTTCTTTTATTTTATTTGAATTAATTTGTTCGGAATGAATGAAAGAGAGAAATGATAAAAAAATGATTCGTCAAACACAATAAACGAAAATATGTCATTGTCTAGGTGAATATATATAACTCAGTATGAATAGGCAATAGACATGAGAAAAAAAGATGAGCGTTAATTCATTCGAAATTTTAGCTGATGATATTCTTTATGAAATTTTTTCTTATTTATCTCCAGTTGATATTCTTCAATCATTTTTATTAACTAAACGTTTATCAAGAGTGATAATAAATGAATATTTGTGGCACATTCATATTGGTGATTCAACAATCTCATTATTAATCTTCAGTAATTATTGCAATAACCTCTTGAAATTAATAGGAGGTCGCATTGTCTCATTACGTTTAACATTAACCAATGTTATTGGTGGATGGTCACTCATTTCATCTTATCTTCGATATCATCAAACAACATTACTTCAACGTCTACATCTCATTGACATTAACCCACATGAATTTGATAAATTATTGCGTAATCAACTAATAAAACAGTTACATACTTTATTAGTTGATGTAACACCTTATAATCCATTTCATTGTTTTCAAGTTGAAGGAATTTATCTAGTTAAGGTAAGAAAACAGCTGCTTTTTCTATATAATATGGAATTTGTTTTTATTTCCGTTAACAACTACTTTTAATATAATCTATAAAATTTAATTAAAGGTATGTTCACGAATGCCTCTTTTAAAAATTTGTCGACTTCCATTTAATCATGATGATGGAAATGTTAATAAAATAGAAAACTATTCATTAAAATATCAAATAACTTTACCAAATTTATTAAGTAGAAATCATCTTCGCACATTAACTATTGGTATACATACGTCACGGTTTATCGAACGTTTATTATTATCTATACCATTTATTGAAAATCTTTCTTTTGGCATAAAAGATAAAGATATTAATGAGAACGATGATGCGCATGATAAAATCACGTAAGTAGAATACCATCATACGTAAATATATCAGTTATATCAATCATCTTAGGTTACCGGCCGGTAGTGATGCTCATCTTGAATATTTATCTCGTCTACGTATACATTGTTTGAATAGCATAAGTTTTCATCGAACGATTGCTCTTTTATCGTCTGTACTTAGTCAAATTTGTCATTTGTCATTAAAATTAGAAGCATGTACATTAAATTCTGGTTGATTGATTATATCAGGTGATATTATTCAAGAATTATGTATTGATCGTCTTAAACCAATGGCAACCTATAGTCTTAGTTTATTATTATATGTTGAGGACGACTTAGAAGAAAAAATAATTTTCAATTCATTTTTTAAAGTTCCATTTATTCATCGACAAAGCCCGAGAGTTTTTATTCAAGAATACAATGATTCTGATATAAGTGATACAAATCATTGTTTTATGGTATATACTTTTCCATATAATGATACAATTCTTTCATCATATATATTTTCTACAAATCTTGAAAAGTATATCAAGAACATTTATTTCTATAAAATATCAATACAAACCTTTCTTTTTTTCTATTTAGATTTTGTCAAAATCCGACTGATGTAACAGATTTATTTCCACGTGCTAATACATTATCTTTCTATGGTTATAACAAGACCAATTGTGTTCGAGATCTTGCCAATTGTAGAAGTTCTATATCATCATTAGTTCCGTGGTTATTGTTAACAAATATTAAAATCAATCATAGTGATGTTATTACTCAACACACATTAGTGTCAATATTAGGTATGGGTTATAATGTACATACACTAGATATAGTTGATGATAGAGGAATTTTAGTTCGTACGATTTTGCATAATAAAGATAAATTCGGAACTCAAATCAATGAACAAGTAAGAAATTCTATTTTAAAATAAAAATTTGTCAAAGAGATTATTTCATCTTGAAATTATTTTCGATTGATGTTTACCTTTCGTTTTAATAATTTATTTTTCTATTATTTAAAATTGAAATTTATTAAATAACTAAAATATATATTCATTTTTCTGAGATCAATTATATTTTATTATTTAGATAAAATCATTGAACATCTTTGATATAAGTTGGACATTACAAAATGCTCAACGTTTTTGCACCTTATTGTCGAATCAATTTCATAATTTGAGGTCATTTTCATTTACTATTTTTGATTCATATCGTCACTGGCAATGGAAACCATCTCGTATTATTGACGGAAAAAACAAATCTACAAAACGTATTCTCAATATTATTTATTTTATTGTTGATCATTTGAAACAACTTGTTTGCCTGAAAATAAACTTTTTTAATTTGATTATCTCTAATACATGTTGTTTCCCACATTTAATTCGACGGCAACTGCATCAATATCCACTTAGTCGACCTTGTCGCTTACGATGCTCTACTAATTTTATTCAAATTTGGCTTTAATTATATAATTATTATGTTAGAAGGTCTTTGTATCATCAATTCTTTCTCAACTATTATATATATCTATTCAAATAAAATAAGATAAAACATGTTCAGCTGATTTTCTTAGTAAAACATTGAAAAGAATTGAATTATTTTGTTATCTTTTGCAAGTGCAAATTGAAAGTTTCAAATTAAAATAATTTTTCTTAATTGAATTTAATGGTGCGTAGTTGTGAGGTGGTGAGGAGATGGTTGTGGAATGTATGAGAGTGAGTGTGTGGTTTTGACTCTAATTGTGGCAATTGTTGTGGTCGGCGTTAAAATGATAGATAATTCTACGCCTACACTAGAGAAAAAGTATGCGCTTTGAGTAAAATACATGTTATTTGGAGAAAGCATTTCTTAATAAGTTGTAGGAAGGATTAATCGTTTTTTGTTGTCAGATTTAGATTTATACAGTTATGTCCTTTATGTCTCACCAATATTCCCTCGACTGAAGAGAGGCTCATATGAAATAAAATGAGTTTGTATGTTTGATTGTGTGTATGTTTGCAATCACATGTTAAGTCACGTGCAAACAAATTAATGAGTTACGAACCGCCTATAAAGCTTGGCCATAGGTAATCGGGGTCGAGGAATCCGAATCTGCAATCAGTTTTTCGAAATTTTGAGTTTGAGTTTTTTTAGACAAAGAAAGACTTTTTTATGAAAAAAATGATTTTTCATAAAGTTTGATAAAAAGTAATCGGGGTCGTGAAGTCCGAATTCTTGATTAGTTTTTCGGAACTCTTATTGTTGATGGTTTTTTTTGGCGAAAAGCACGAAATCAAAGTGTGCTACATCCAAGACTAAACGCAAATCTAGGTGTCTTGGAACGGTGGTGTCCTAATATGTGTCTGAATTTCATGTAAAGGAAAACTATAGTGGCGGAAGTATGGAACAACTTTTCTACTCTATTTTTCGCAGAATGATAATAAAGCGTAGAACAAGGAAGAAATAGTATAGTTCTTTTTAAAATCATTCTTTTGACTGTAGCGGTCGTAAAGTTTGTGACAACCAATTCGAAGTTAGTGAGGTGCATTCATCTAGTGTCTCTGAGTCTGTTTACTGTTTTGTTTTATTATGGTCATGGTAGCACCGTGGTTAGTCAAATAAACTTTAGACCGACAGATGATTGTCATCGTCATTTATCAAATGAAGTCATTAGAAGCATATATAGTGGAGGACAGGTTGCTGGATATGATCATCATTTTGAGGCGGTAAAATCAAAGTGATACCCTGTCAAATAAAAGAAAGATAATATCACGAGATCATCATTATTAGCATAGTTGAAAAGAGTCCATTAGAACAATATGGAATAATGAGTGAAGAGCTGGATATCATCATGAGTTTTGTGATGGTACAATCAAAGAGATACTATGTCACATGAAAGAAAGATAATATCACCAGATCATTATCATTAGCATAGATAAAAAACTTCAAGAGATCGATACCGAATAAACAGTGGGAGAACATCTGATATCGATTAGGCCCCGGTCGGGTATAAATACTGATGCATTTTCCGTAGTAGATCATTCCATCGACTTCCTCGTGGTTATTGCTGTTGAAGAGGTTACTCCTGTGGTATGGTCATCTACAATCTTTAGATTGTGGCAAGTTCACGAAGGTGCATCTTCTAATTAGTTACGCTTACTACCTCGTCGTCAAACGTATTGAAAAACTCAAACTATACTCACAGACTTGAAGCGACTCAGGAACACAATCATCAGTACCTAATTATTACCGATTCATTGTGTAAACCGATCCGTGGCGGAAACCGACCGGTTTCGGAATTTTGAAAAGCGAAAACTAATATAGCGTATATGAGTGAGACTTGAAAGTGAAAATTTTTATACATAGTTATAATGATGAGTGAAAAACAATAAAGAATTCTTCAAATGTTGATTTTCGTTGAAGAAATCTAATGAAATAAATTTTTTCGTAAAATTTCACGAAAATCATAATGTACGTGTACATACGTCAAATACTTCTCTCGAAAACGAAATACATCATACTTATTAGGGCTGCTATATTACTTATTACGTATTACTTATTGCTTTCACATTTATTACTTTTTTTTTTTTTCTTTTTTTTCAATTTTGTGCAGATAAGAAGATATACGCATTATCAATTGTAATAACCAGTGATTTATATATCTTATCACCCGCATTAAATTGAAAAAACCAAGAAAAGTAATAAATTATAAGTAATAAGTAATGTAGTAGCTCTAATACTCATAGATTATTTTTCATCGTATTCAGCATATACATAGTCAAAGGCAAGGTATATCGTGCACATGTTTAAATAAATGCGGAAACCTCGGATTGAAATCCGAGTGTTATGTGTACTGAAGAAAAGTGAAGCTAACGATAGATTGGTTTCGATCAACTTATCTAAAATAATTCATCCTTGAGCGCACTAAGGAACCGCCCCTTAGACCCTGCGGATGCCCTCTTTTTGTCCCGTAGGACGTGGCGAGGAGTTAGTTCCGGAGAATTTATTTATTTGTAAAAAATAAAAACTAGTTTATTTTAGTTGAATCTTGTTTCATTTTCTAAACTGATATTAATTATGTCATGCTTGGGTATAAATTGTTGAGGATTATTTATAAAGGGTAGGAGAGCATAATAATGATTGCCAGTAAAATGAACACATAAACTCAATTTATTCATATCTGACTTATATCCAATATATTTAAGATGAACACCTGCAGTACCTTTATCGAATCGATCAATCAATTTTTGTATACTGATATCAGATGGAATATAATGTCCATCTTCTGGATTATTATCGAATTTAACATATGAATAAATAGGCTGACATAAGACTATAGAAAGAGCTTGAATTTGAACTTCTCCACCCGATATTTCATCCGTGGCTGTTCTTTTCATCTGTTCGTCGAATGAATAGTTCAATGTGTTAAAAATACTTTTGAAATGATCACTATTGTTAATCATTGCGTTGACTGGTAATAGCCTCATTGACTGTGTTAGTTTTTCAGATCCAATATTAATTATTGAAAGAGAATTATACTAACAATTGCCATCTGCAGTCGTGCGGGTTCTTCCATAGACCTGAGTCAAATGGTTTGAAGAGAATATTCTGTTCTCGGTTTGAGTTTAACAGGTTGATATTTATTATGCAGAGTTATATATGGTGATCTTTGAAGTGAATTATTAATTATTTGAGGTTGACTTAAAATTTGATCTATGAGTACAATATTATTATTAATAGGATGTACTGAAAGAAAATAATCAAGAATCTTTCTAGAGTTTAAATCAATAATTTCATTACTTTCGAACGAAGATTTCTCGTCAATTTCCATTATATGACATTGATCTTTAATTTTAAGATGATTGAGATTAAAATCCATATCTCTATGAATTTGTTCGTTTTGATCAACATGAAATTGAATAATAATTTCACATTTTCTTATCCATATAAGGTTTATGAAAACTCGTGATACTTTAAAAATAATCAGCTTTCAAGTCATTCATATTAGTGAAGCAATAATCAATCTGTGTCTCAGCATTAGTTGAGCTTTTATTTAATTTATTATTCAAAGTAAGTCCGAATGATTTCATATATCCAATAAATTTCTAATTGGTTTTTATCTTTAAATCTATATTAAAATCACCAACAACAATTAGATTTTGACAAAATCGTTTGGAAACGGTGATAACTTCATTAATATGTCGTTTTACGATATCAAATGATGAATTTGGTGAATTGTAAATAGAAATGATACAAAAATGATCAATTTTTATTGAAGAATATTCAATATGATTTTTTCCTGAATATTTACATATTTCGGCAATACTTTCATACTTAAAATAAATAATTTGACCAAATGGTTTTTGTATATGATGAGAATGAGGTCTTTGAACTATCTTGAAACGTTCAATTTCCAAATAGTCACTAGGTTTTGTCCATGTTTCAACAAGACTTATCATAGAAGCAGACAAAAACGTATTGTCAGATTTGACATCCAAAAAATGTTTATTCAATGATTGTACATTATGAAACATCAAATAAATTTTTTCTCCTTGCGATTCTTCGGGAAATTGAAGTGAAAATTTGATCTTTCTTTCGGATCTCATTGTTTTAAACATCATCGCCACTGTATCATTACTTTCAGGTGGTTTTCGTGGAACAAACTCACTAATTAAATATAAACCAGTTGCTTTTGTTGCACGATTACAAGCGACGTATAGGTTAGACGTTGTCATCCCCTTTTTCAAATTGCCAACAACTTTTTAATAAGTACCATCTTGACTTTTGTATATGATCATAGCTTCACAAGGAACTACTGTGAACTGTTTACGTTCTACTTTGAAATTTGTTGACCTTGTATTTATTTGTCGTATGACTGGTTCAATTGGTGTAAGACTGAGATCAATATTTCAATTTCGCATTACATTTTGAAAATTCCATTGATGCTACTGTTACTATACCAGGAGAGACTATCTCCACAAGTTTTGGCTTAATTAAAGAAAAAGTTTCATATCAGGTTGACGAGAATACAAATACTATTTATGGATCTCAAATATTTCCTAATCTTTCAGAATTCATTTAACTTTTATTTTCAACTTTTTAATACTCATTTATTTTTTATTATGAATAAAATATAAGATGATTCTATTCATATGCTTATCTTTTTATTACATTAAACTAAGATTATTTAAACTTATATTTTTCACTTTAAAATCCCTCATATTACAAGAGATTTTGATAATGTCAAAATAACAAACTACTAATGAATCAATTTTATAAGCAGATAAGAATCGAACATGAATTTGAAGAAAAACTATAGGATGAATTAGATTAAATAAAAATCAATGAAGACACTACCAAATAGAATCTCTCATATATGAGAAAAATAAAATTTATAAAACTATTTTAAAAATATTCTTTTCTATGTTAAATTGTATAAATAGTTTCTCATTTGATCATAAATCAGTTGAAATGTCTATATCTACTGGGATGCTGTATAAATACGGAATATATTTTCTTTAAATTGACTACCTATATTTTAACTTTGATCAGATAATACACTAACATAATAAAATTTATTTTGTTAAATAAGTAAATTATATTGTACAGATATTGCAAGTAGTAACCCACTTTCAAAGGAAAATAAATGACTAAACTTGCCTTTAACATATTACTCTATTAAAATATATTTAGATCTGTGAATGCGTTTAAACGCATAAATTTTGAAAAACTTACAAGTTTTAACAGATTGCATCTGGCTCATGTGTTTTAACGCGTTTGAAAATTACATAATAATGCCGTTTAAACGCTGTTATTACAGAACCTCAACGCGTTTAAACGCCTTATTTTTTAACGTTTGTCTGCCTGGGTAGTTCTCCATCTATATTCGAACTCGAATTAGCCATCTTATGGTCTATTTATACATATTCACTTACTGAACAAGAACAATCCACATATTTAATTCCATAACCTTTATTTTTAGCTCAATCAGAAGTAGAGAAATATTGCCATCATTGAGGCCATAGAGATGAGGACCGGTTCTAGCCCTTCGGCGAGTGTCTAGCATCCCCGCTCTATGAACCCGATATCACAGGTGAGTAACCTGGTAAAGGCGCGTCTATACCAATCGATATTCAATGTGAGATATGATTTGTTCAAGATTTTACTTCGAGGCAAATTTAAGTAAAATTCTTATCGAAGTAATAAATTATAATTTATAATCGTTTTTTTCTGCTTTTCTGCCTCAGTTATAGAAAAGTTCTATCTCATTTATAATTTATAATTTATAACAAACTTTTTTTTTCTGTTATAAGCAAGTGCTAACTTGGATTTTTTTTTCATTTATTTTCGAAGTGATATTAGACAGTTGATATTTCATTTATATTATAACTCGAATTAGGTAGCTCATGGAAAATAGATGTCAATGTGAATATAGACGAAATCCGCATTCCACTCACACTCTTATTATTTTTGTCAAACAAAAATAAATAAATATTTATTATGAGACTCTTGAAAATAATCATTTAAAGTAAACAGTTTATATAGTTTTTCTATGAAATAATGAAAGATAAAAGTATTAAATTATTCTTTAAAATATTTTAGATAAAATAATTATTAAAGAGAATTGTCACCTGATAACTAAACTCTATTCTTTTGAAATTTTATTTTTATATTAATATAAGTTAAGGAAAAAAACCTAGATAGTATTATTTAGAAAATTGTTGAATATATAACTAATCAATAAAAATTTCCATGAAATGATAATGGAATATGTATTGGAAGATAAGCACGATCAAGTTCTTTAAATGTAATACCATCAAGTACAAGTATAAATGATCGTTTAGCTTGTTGATCTAAAACAATTGATAAAATAATTCCATCATCTTCTTTATCATAATTTGAATCAGGTCTTTGAACAAAAATAGGTTCACTTGGTGATGTAAATGGTTCTTCCCATAAAGCAACTTGTTCTTTTGATTCAACATCTAATTTAATAAGAGCATCAAATAATCTATTAGGTGGACCACGTACACCATATAGATATCGATATGCTTTTCCAATATATTTTTGATTAATACGTGCTAATTCAAATTGAACTGGTACAAGACTATGTGCATAACTATAACAATGATTTCCTTTTGGTTCTCTTGCATTAGCATTTGGTTCAATACATGTATTTGAATCTAAATCTAATTTAAATCTTCGAAGATAACCAGCACCTGAAGGAAATTTATTTTCACGTAATTTATCCAAATAAGCTTCATTTATTACTCTTGGATCATCAAAAGCACATATATCAACAATAATTATATTTTTATTATGTTTTGTTTGATAAGAATTAATATGATGAAATGTAAAAAATGGTGGACCAGGAATACGTCCAATTTGTTCACCTGTATCTAAACTAATTATACGAAAATAAGTTGCCATTGTTTCTCCATTCCATTTAAACATATCTGTTATTGTACCACCTGAAATACTATTCCAAATAGCATTAAATTTATTAAAATGATATGGAATTTCAGTAAGAATTAAATAATCTTCACTAATCGATGCTGAATGCATATAAGATGCATATTCATATGGAAAACGAAAGAGTTTTGTACTTGATTTAATAGAATTATTATAATCTTTAGCTTGTGAACTTATATTATTTGTTATATGAATAAAACGATCATTAACAAATATTGATTTATCAATATCTTCATCTTCTATTTAAAAAAAGAAAAAAAAAAATATATTTCAATAATTTAATATTTATTATTAAATAAATGAAATAAACCTCTCTTATCTTGATTAAATGATTCATCCGATATAAATATAACATCAAGCCAATGTTCTTTACGTGTTATTCTTCCACTATAACCAATTGTCATTTGACGTTTATCATCATGCATTATATGAGCTGTTGTTATTGTCATTATTTCTGAGTCAAGTGGTTGAGAATAAGGTAATGTTATAAGTGGACCTATTAATTGAAGTGTATCTGGATCAAGAATATTACCTGTTACTGTTTCTGTAAGTGCTAATAAACGATTATGTACGATTTGAATAGTAACACCAGTATCATCAGTATATGTTGTTGGATCTCTACCACGAAAAAGTGTTTTAAATCGACCAAAAATTGATTTACATGAATCTGTACCAAATTGTCGTACAATTAAATGACCATTTATTAAAGATTGAGTAAATGCATGTGATTTAATAAATGATCCACGAAATTTAACTAATTTTGATTCTCCATCAATTGAATATTTTTGAATAAAAGCAAAACCATCAAATATATGATTAAATGATGTTGTTAAATCATTATTTATTTCATAAGCTCCACTTCCATTACGATAAAGTGTACCTTTTAACCATTGAGGAATATTTCCTTTAAATTCAATTCTTTCTTCTTTTTCACAATCTTTTGTTGAACTATATAAATTTGAATTATTCCATTCTCCTTCAACATTATCATCAACAGTTGATTTTATCATTATCTTTAATTATATTAATTAAATAAATATATTCGAGATATATTGACAAACAAAACAAAGGATCAATCAAAAAAAAAAGTTCATTCAATATGATATTATTATCGTTTATATTCTCTTAGACCTTCGATTCTACTAATTAAACTTATTGATGCATCGATCAATTACATAATAAGTAAGACAATATGAATTTTATCATTTTGATTATAAACTAATGCTTGTTTAAAAAAAGAAATGGTCATCAGTATTTTTGCAATAATTCAACAATCGAAAGAGTTACAGAGTTCAGATTTTCATCAGATGAAAGAGGAGACATCAACATGTCTTTTTCTTCAATATTAACGCAAAAAAAAATCGAAAATAAATTCTACAAGGACGAAATAGGAAATAAATATTTAATCAGATTGAATTTCCATTCAGTTCTGTCAACATACAATTCCTATAGTACCAATGCCCGAGATCCTCTCATTTTATAAATATTTCACCATCAAAATCATTCTCATATCTTCATTAAGTTTCTTATTGATTGAATTAACGTCATTTATACGTTCTCTAGAATGCGCTGACAGAAAAAAAGCATTTTCTAAACAATGACCGTAAATTCCATAGTATTCGAGAGTTACACATCTATAAAAGCACTATTACTTCTCTTTTCAACAAATTGTATGGAAATACAATCTCATTAAATATTTATTTCCTATTTCGCCCCTGTACAATTTTTTTTCGATTTTTTTCACTAATTGTAGCCCATAATACGTAGTTTATTGTGTCCAAAGCTGATCGCATAAAGAGGGTGATTTCATCGATTAACTAAACATACCCTGGTGAACCCTTCTCATGGCTCTATCTCGGCTTAACATTGAGCTACATCTCGGAAAATTCTACCATAAACTTAGGAGCTCATCAGAACTTATTGCTGAAATTTTTAACTCAATTGATTGAATTGAACTCGATTTATTGACTCTCTAGCGAAAACTATGGTTTATTACTTGATGAAACTTTTCAATATGAACTTGACAACTCCATTATACTAGATTAACTTCTTATCAATTTTTTTAAACCGTAGATAGCCTCATCAATGTGCTTAGAAATGAGGAGTTCCGCGAATATTAATGTCAAAAGATGACTGAGATATCACTTTCAGAATGTAATGATATTGTTGAACTGATAACTTCACTTTATCTCAATCGATTGAGGGTGAGGTGGTGCTTGCAATCACGGTTCACTGATATCAGTCTCTATCCAAAATATCCAGTAGTGTAAAACTCGAAAAGTCGTAACGACTTTTCAACTATTCGACTTTTCAACTATTCGACTATTCAACTTTTCGACTATTCAACTATTCAATTATTCGACTATTTGACTATTCGACTTTTCAACTACTGGCATTCCTCGGATGCTAATCGCATCGTCTGGCATACTAGAGGCATCACCTGGTATGCTATAGGCATTCCCTATGATGCTAGAGGTATTCCCTAGAATGCTAGAAGCATTCCCTATGATGCTAGAGGCATTCTTTAGGATGCTAGAAGCATCCCAGACAATGCCTAAAGCATCCCAGGTTATGCCTCTAGCATCCCAGGTGATGCTTCTAGCAACCCAGGTGATGCTTATAGCATCATTCGCGGCACCGACATCGAAATAGACGTGGTGTGACACCCTATGCGGCGCCCTTATCGAATAGTTGAAAAGTCGAATAGTCGTAAAGTCGAATAAATAGTCGTAATGACTATTCGACTTTTACATGTATGCAAAAACGGTGGACTTTGTTCTTATATATAACTAGCTTATCTATTTATTAAACATTTATATCATAGATGAAACACTCAACCGTTATTTTTCTTTATTTTGACTTGTTTGATAATAGTAGGAGAAGGTGTGTTATTAGAAATCTACTTATTCCTATATATGTTCTAAAAGCAAGAATCTTTATATAAAAAAGGTAAATAATAAAAAAAAAAAGTCTATAGAGTAGATATAAGTGGAGACTAAAATGAGCCATTGAATGAGAAGATGAGTTAGATGTCGTAATAAATGGAATTGTTATATATATAAATATAGTTAGTTGTCATTGTTATTCTCTGAATAATATAAAAAATGAAATAAATGATAAATATTCTAATATTGATTATATATAAGAACTAATCAGACATAGATATTGGTCAAACCTCAGATAAATTTATTGATTTGATTTGTTTTCATATTTGACTAAGATAAATAAAAGTTTTATTTCGATAGTTGATCGAATAAATAAATAAAATAATTCTTTTCCTATAAGATAAACAAATCGAAATCAATAATATAAATATCGATGGAAAAATTGAATTTATTGAATAGATAACAACTGAAAAATAACTAATATATTTAGTTTTTTTCGAAAACAAAATAAAATTCTCTTTGAATATTCTTTTTTCTATAATTAAATATGTAAATCAAGATATTATTTTCTTTAATAAAAAACTTTTAATATTTCAATTTATTCGTTTTTTTTATATTTGAAATTTAGGAGAACTGTTTTTAAAGTTGATCTTTGTTTAAATATATCTCGAAAGAAAAAGAAAAAGTTAATATATTATATATAGGATAGAAAGATTATTTATTTAATTAAATTAATTTCAATGATAAAGATAAATTTAAAAAAAAAATCTATTAAATAATTCTAAAAGAATGTTGATTAATAAATAAATTGAATAATTTCTATTCGATAAATAAATAAAATAATATCTCTATTATAAATAAAACTTTATTTAAAATAATAATTAACAAAAAAAACTTGTTGACGTTAATTACATATCGAACAAATTGATTTATTTATATTTATATTAAAATCTTCATGTGAACTAAATGTTCCTGTTAAACGACGAGTTCGTCGATTATTATAAAATATTCCAACACCAATTTGATCAATAGGAATCGTACCTAAGATAAACAATTATTCTTGGTTTTTTTTTCATATTTTATTTGAATATTAACAATCCTATTGAGCAGCATTTTAAATTTATTATTAAATAATATTTATTCGATAAATGATAAATAATATGTTAATATGTTGAACTTTAATAAAATAATCCTAATCGATAGTCGACATTTCTTATTAATTATTGATAAAAGTCAAGAATTTAATTCTTATTAAAATAAAATACTTTGAAAGTTTTTTCAATAAGATTCAATAAATTGAGAATGATTTTATTTAAAAATAAAATCATTTATTAAGACAATAGGATATTTTCATATTCTTATCGAACATTTTTAATTATCTTAACAAAAAAAATATTTACAAATAAATTTCGATTATTTTTTTTTTATTTTGTTTTGTTTGTTGAATAGTTATTGTGATAAAGTCTTGTTAAAAATGTTTTCTTATTTAAGATTTAATAGATAATCAAGAAAATTGAATTAAATCTTAAATCCATAATGAAAACAAATTGATATTTATTAATATATTAATAAAAAACTAAAAGGATAAATTATGAAAAGTCTATACTTTTCAATGTATTTTTTGTTGGAGATATCTCAATAGATTTTTAGTTTTTTATTTGTTTTAAAATATTTAAAAATAATTCGAATTTATATCAATAGAAATAAAATCTCACCAATATCAACAAAATTGAGAAAGAAAAAAGCGCATTAAAATGAAAAGCATAAAAGCAAAAATGAGAAAGAAAAAAATCTGATAAAATCTTTTGCAAATAAATGTTTTATATAATATATAATCACAATATAAATATTGATTATTATTTGATTCTATACAAATTTAAGATCTTAATTAAATAATCAATAGAATTAAATTATGTTTGACAAAGTGCACAGCTTTTTCTTGATTTATTTCTTTGCTCATCATCGAAATTAGCATATTGAGAGCGATTAGATCGATTATCAGCAATTGATCGTAGACATTGAATGCCTGAATGTATTCGATTTGGATGAATACTACCTAAATCATATAGACAAATTCAATTCACTTTTTGTTTTTTTTTTATTGAGAAAAAAAAAGAAAGTAAAAATTGAAATACCTGAATCAATTTTGCTTA